ACGCCCACCCGCTCTCTCAGGTCAGCTGATCAGCTGCTCCTGAGGGTGCCAAAAACCAAGCGGAAGCTCAGAGGGGACCGTGTGTTTGCTGTTGTGGCTCCAAAATTATGGAACAATATACCTATACCCATTGTGGGATAAATAAAGGATTGTCTTATCTTATCTTATCTTATTTTACCTCAGCACGTTAAACAGGCCTCTTCTTTGCCTGTTTTTAAATATCGTCTTAAGCCCCATCTCTTTCCCCTGGCCTTTGACACATAGTAAGACGTCGACTTATTTATTCATTTTATTTCGCTTTTTTGCGTGCCTATTCATTTTTACTTGTTTTATGTCTTTTAACTTGATTCTGTACTTCACATGTAGTTTTCTTTTATCTCATGTGAGCTGTTACATATTTTATTTATTCTTCTGTACAGCACTTTGGTCAACTGTGGCTGTTTTAAAGTGCTTAACAAATAAAGTTGGATTGGATTGGATTGGATAAACCTTCGCAGTGATTAATAGCCTATGATAGCTACAGCTATTGAAGTAGGCTAAGATACGACAAGCCAGTGATCAAATGTTCTGACTTCACTTAAACAAAAAATAACAGAAATGAAAATGAATGAAAATTATATTAATTAACCTTAAACATAATACAAACAGGTATTATTCATAAATAAATGAGTGAATTTCTTCCGCGAGATTGTGTTGCCTTGATAAACCATGGTGACATGCCAGGCGGGCGGAGACAGGAATCGTAGGTGTAACCGCCTCCCCACCCCTACAGGACGTGCTCACTTTACTGAACAAGCGCTCCTCATCTCATCACGTGTGAGACGCGCAGCAGAAGAAGCACTTGACTCCAGTTTGATGAAGTAAATGGAAGCAGGGCTGCTGATACTGAAAAAGTAAGTTATATTTAATTTAATATGGATTTATTTCAGTGCACTGAGCCGATTTTAAGTTGTAAAAAAATGCAGCATGTGGTCAGACTCAAAGAAGTGTTTAACTCGACATGAGTCTGGTTAGCTGAGTTAGCTTAAACATAATACATGTGGATTGTTAAAAATGTGTTTGCGTGTTATAAAGTTAAAAAGGAACATGCCTTGCTTTTTTTACCCTTTGTACCCGTTGTAAAGTTGTTGCATTCAATTGAAGTAGCTAAATGCTAACAAAAAAAGCCAAGTGGCGAAAGTCAATCTTGTAGCCGCCTTGCTTAAAACTGAGGATATTCCTTGTAAGTAAATCATACTTGTGTCATATTGATTCTTGTAAAGTTACAAATGTGTGAAAGATGTGAGCCAGAGAGAGATTTTGAATAATAATATCTAGTTAAATCTTCCATTACTTCAAGCGGCTCAATGATTCAGTGTACACCTTCAAAAGCAAATGCATTATTTCTCAGTGAAATATCAAGTAAAGTCTTTACTAGTTAACAAGTAAAGTAGATATTGATGCAAAATATATCCACAAAAGGAGATGTAGATGTGATTGTCAGCCATAAAAGTGCTTCATGTGTAGTCTTTGATAGACCGCAGCATGGTGTGTGATGAGCTTCCTTCTGATGTCATGCCTCTCCAATTAAACACTACAAAGTATTGAATGTAGTCATATTGACATCTTAACATCTATAATAGGAGCTTTAACTGCAATTTTTGTATGTGTATATGTAGACAGTAAAGACAGAAGAAAGTGTACATATTACATTTTTTCTTCAATCAATACTTCTTCAGTTCCATATATCTGCATTAATATAAATGAAATGTGAGATGAAAGAAAACAATACATTAGATGATTGATGATTATTGTGCAAGGCTAATTCTGTGTAGAAAGTTAAGGGATGCTGCAGACCTCTGCAAACTGTCTGTTTGGGCACTATGATCATATGAGCCACAGCAGATCAACAGGTAGCAGTCACAAGCTACTCATGCAGGTAGTGTGTCCAAGCTGTACATTTTATGTGACTATCAGGTTACATGCTCTGTATTTGATTACAGGATGATCAATGGCTTCGCTGAGACGGAGGAAATCCCCAAAACAGGATGCAATAGAACATGCTTTGAAAGGCCTGGACAAGACAGCAGGGTTGGAAGTGAAATACATTGACTCTTTTAAAGGTATGATTTTTTTTTTTCAGTATTATTTAGTTTTGTGAATTTGTAGTACTATCAGAGCTTACCTCTTACTATTACTGATGGGTACCAAACACCAGTGTCATGGTTGCATTATGATGGAAAAGACTCCTTTCTGTGCAGTTTCCAGGGTGTTAAAGTATAACACTGAAGCTCTGTATATTGAAAATGTATCTGTGTGTTTGCATCAGGTCGAGGGGTCTTTGCCAAGACCCATTTCCAAAAAGGAGACTTCATTGTGCAGTATCGAGGAGAATTAATAGATTCTGATGAATCTCTGAGAAGGAGGAGAGTATACCATGGCAGATGTGCTGTCTTCATGTTTGACTTCCACTGGCATGATAAAACATGGTGGTAAGGCTAAGATTGAGTTTTAAATAATTAATTTCTTCACAGCTGAGGTATTTTCATCTCATAAACAATGTGTGATATTAATTCAAGTCACTAAGTTAATTGGGCAGTAAAGATCTGTCTACTTAGTATTAGTATTAAAGGTATTCATAGCTTGCATGTGACATCACACACTTCAGGAACCGCCAACCTGGCGGGCAAGAAAGGCTCCATACTGCTGTATACTACGGGGACGTTATCGGTCTCAGCTGCTATCCACATGCTAATATCAGTCTTCTTTGAATATTTCAATCAAAGTCAGTAGTTGTTGGATGATGAACTAACTGACAAGGAGATAAGCCAGGGTTGTTCTTCTACAGAATGTAATGTTTGATAGAAAACCCAGAGAGTAGGAGATCGTGGATTAATGCTGTTTGACACTCTGCTGTCCTCGTGAGGGAACAGACTTCTCATCCTGACATCAAATATTGTGTTCACTTAATCTAAGTATTTTCTGTTCTGCAGTTCTACAGTGTTCAATGGTGGACCCTACTTCCCTCAGCACTTTTTGTCCTCCAGCCCTCTGTGATGGTCACTTGAATGAAAGCTTTGAGCTGTGTTACAAAAAAAAACTAAATGATCTTTATTGAAGCTCTCTCTTAAATGATTGGTGGATTATTATTATTTTTTAATTCTATCAGATATTTGATTTTATGATGTCTAATAATTGATTTAATATATTTTTGAAGTGTTGATGCAGCTCGAGAAGATGGCAGTCTAGGAAGACTAGTCAATGATGACGACAAGCACCCGAACTGTAAAATGAAGAAGATCATAGCAGAAGGCAAGCCGTACCTCTTTCTCTTTGCTATGATGGACATCAATGCTGGGGAAGAGATAACATATGATTATGGACAAGCAGATTGGCCTTGGAGGAAACAGGTTAGTCTAAATTGAGTAGCACACCCAGGTGTTATTCTGTTGATTACAACTGAACAATTACACTGAATTTTTCTTCAGGATGGAAGCAAATTTACCGTGAAAAATTCTGCTGAGGTTGACATCTCCAGAACCACAGAGCAGGATCCTCAGAGCACTTCTGTCTCCCAGATTGAGGTATTCATTTATGTTTCTGAACTTTTTCTGGTCTTCAGTGTGTCCCTCCTTTAGTTTTTGAAGCCCCTCCTCATTGATCCATTGTTTTAGTATTAACACTTTAGATTGATATTTGGTTAAAATCAGTGTCAGTGTTGGGTCATAGATGGAAAATGAAAACTAAAGGCTTCAGGGTGTTCTACAATAAGTATGTTTTTAAAGATTTTGTTGTAATGTTGCTTGTTGAATCTAAATCAACAACAATCAGTAATGATGGTTAATTATATTCTTCAGGATGGAGGCCAATCTCCTATGACAGACTCTGCTGAGGCTGACATCTCCAGAACCACGGAGCAGGATCCTCAGAGCACTTCTGTCTCCCAGATTGAGGTATTCATTTATGTTTCTGAACTTTTTCTGGTCTTCAGTGTGTCCCTCCTTTAGTTTTTGAAGGCCGTCCTCATTGATCCATTGTTTTAGTATTAACACTTTAGATTGATATTTGGTTAAAATCAGTGTCAGTGTTGGGTCATAGATGGAAAATGTAAACTAAAGACTTCAGGGTGTTCTACAATAAGTATGTTTTTAAAGATTTTGTTGTAATGTTGTTTGTTCAATCTGAATCAGTTGAATACTGATCAACAATCAGGAATGATGGTTAATTATGTTCTTCAGGATGGAAGCCAATCTCCTATGAACCTCTCAATCTCTAGAACCACGGAGCAGGATCCTCAGAGCACTTCTGTCTCCCAGATTGAGGTATTCATTTATGTTTCTGAACCGTTTACTGGTCTTCCTTTTAGATCTTGAAGCCTCTCCTCATTGATCCATTGTTGAAGTATCAACATTATTGATTATTATTAAGTACATATTTGTTTGGTTACGATCTATGTTCATCTAATTTGAGAGGTATGCTAGAAGGCACTCATTCTAGAGGGTGAGATACAGTGCCAGTTTATTTGGAGGTTTTTCTGTTTGGTGTATTCTAATTTACTGCATTCATTAAATGCATGAAATCACTTAATTTCTAATGTTTTTGAAATATATTTTTAATACACCAAATCACAGTTTATCTAAATTCATCAGACCATTAAAAAATGTGTCATGAATAGGGATTTAGCAATGCCTCGCACTATAAAATAAATGTATGAAAATATGCACAATGTAATTAGATTTTACCGAAATAATGACCTTTTTGTCCAGCATAGTGGGCTATGTGCTTTTGTCTTCTTTTGTTCTTGTTCAGTAGAAGAGGGACATACAGGCATAAAATGAAGTATAGAAGTGATATGAGCAGAAAACCGGCAAGACAAAAAACAGTGTGCAAATGTAAGAGACTGATGAATGACTTGATAACCAACATGATGTGTCACCTAATCATGTAAAATGCCGCCACTCTACAAAGCTTTGTATTTTCCACATTTCTTTTTATCATGTCACTATTATTTCAATAGGGCTCTGATGCAACCGGTCTGAACAAAGTTGGAGTAAATATTTCCATTGTCGACTACACAGATTCTGATGAATCTCAGACTCCATCTAGGAATCCTGTTCATGTTAACAGATGTTTTCAGGTATTGTGAAGTTGGTACATTTTGTGTGTGTATCTTTTTCATCAATTGTGTTATTTTGTTGTTGAAGTGAAAAAAAACATTTCTTTTGGACTCTAGATATCAAGTCCAAGTTCTGCCTCTGACTATGAACTCAGCCTCTCCAAAAAGGGTTACCACCAAGTTCCTATCCCTAGGCTTAGGAGGACCAAAAGCATACAGGTAAAGAAACAAATAATTTTGAGCAAGATGAAAAAAAGGTTAAGCAAATATTTCAACAAGAATTTATATTACATTTTATTTTCCCAAGATGAAAAACTGGATTGATTTGGATTCGGATGAGCTTTTTGACTCAACCTCAGCTGACAGTGGAGAGGAATATATCCCAAAGACCAGTGAAGATTCTGATGGTACAGACATCAGTGAAGTTCTTGGCCCGTCAAACAGAGAGAGAGCCAGAGAGACAGTTTGTTTCAAAGGCATGTGGATGACATTGAAGATAGTGTTTTTTCCCCAACAGAAGCAAGTGCCTCTTCAACACAGTTGGTTATAGAGGACGCTCACCCTTAAGAAAGAGATGCAGCCGTGGTACAAGACGTAAAAGGCAACGTTTAACTAGTGTGTCCTGTGCTACAACACCAACTAGGAGTGGTAACTCATCAAAACTGAGTGAAATAGGAGACACTGGTTCCCTGTTAGAAAACTCAATTCCAGATCTGGACCAGAATCTTCCTGACAGTGCCTCTTCACTCCTTACAGAAGATAGAGATTCTGATGATTCACTCGTCATACCTACCATCTGTAAAAAGGAGAACGGGTCAAGAATATACAACAAAAAGCAGTTTTGTCTTTACTGTAAGTTGGGAGTTGTTAAAATTGCAAGACATTTGGAGCGGGCTCATCCCAATACGACAGAGGTTGCAGAGGCTTTATCCTTTCCTAAACGCTCAAAAGAAAGACGAATGCATCTGGAACATTTGAGAAACAGAGGCAACTTTGCACACAATGTTGAAGTATTAAATTCCGGTGTTGGAAATCTTGTTCCTCGCAGGCAGCCAAGACAGGACTCCAAAGCACAGGATTTCATGCATTGTACATATTGTCAAGGGTTTTATGCAAGGAAACTTCTTTGGCGGCACATGATCGTCTGCAAGTTCAAGCCTAATGTTCCAGGCAAACCAGGCAAAACCCGTGTCCAGGCTCTCTGTGCATTTACTACACCACCACCACCTGGTGTCAAACAAGAACTTTGGAGATTGATAACCAATATGGTACAAGATGAAGTTTCTTCTGCAGTCAAATCTGATGCCTGTATCATGGAGTATGGTGAGCATCTGTTTAACCGACTTGGTTATGATGCTGGCAAACATGAGTACATTCGGCAGAAATGTAGAGAGCTTGGAAGGCTTCTGCTCTGCTCAAGGAAAACCACTTCCTTAAAGACTATTCAAGACCACATCAAACCTGCAACTTTATGCAAGTTGTGCAAGCTGTGAAATGTGTGGCAGGCTATGACAGTGAAAAACATGCTTATAAGTGCCCAAGTCTTGCTCTCAAAATTGGACATAGCTTGACTAAGATTTCTCTTCTTGTTGAAAGCCGTGCCAATGTACAGAACAACTACAGTGTGGCAAAGATGCTCGTACCTTCCGCAGAGTATATGAGGCCAGATGGAACGAGATGATATCAGCTGCATCTCTAAGAACTCTTCAGGAATCCAAGTGGAATACCCCTCTGTTGCTTCCATTCAAAAAGATGTCCAGACCTTGCATTCTTTTTTGGATGTTCAACAAAAGCACATCCACGCAAAATTATCGACAGAGGCATCCCCGCAGACATGGACACAGCTGGCAAAGATCACTTTGACACAAGTTATTTTGTTCAACCGAAGAAGAGCAGGGAGGTGTCCAAAATTCCCCTGTCTGCATATCTGGCTAACAATGTATCAGACCCTCGGGAAGATGTCAGTGAAGCTCTGTCTGCATTAGAAAAGAAACTCTGCCAACACTTCAGAAGGATTGAGACAAGAGGAAAAAGGGGAAGAAAAGTTCCTGTGCTTTTGACCCCAGCAATGCAGCAAGCATTGGATCTGCTGGTGAGCAAACGGCATGAATGTGGGGTTCCTCAGGAGAACAAGTACTTATTTGCAAGACCAACTGCTTTTACCTGCTACCGTGGTTCTGATAGCCTTAGACATTTTGCCAAGGTCTGTGGTGCAACAAGTCCTGAAAGTCTAACCTCGAAAAACTGCGCAAACAACAGGAACACTATCTCAAGTTCTCAACCTCAGTAATACAGAGCTGGATCAGTTAGCAGATTTTCTCGGCCATGATATAAGAGTGCATCGGCAGTTCTACAGACTTCCTGAGGGCACCCTCCAACTTGCTAAAATAAGCAAAGTTCTCATGGCTCTGGAAAAAGGACGCCTGGCAGAATTTAAGGAAAGACCCTCGATGAAATCAGCATTGACCCTGAGGGTACTATTGTTTTTAAATCTCTTTTCAAATGTCTCTACATAAATAAAAAATGTACATTAATACTTTTATTTCATACATTTTCCTAAATGCATTATTTATGCATGAATCAAATGAATTTAAACCAGAGTCATTCTCCTTACTACCACCCCCTAACAGAGATGTGCATCCTGACAGCGATGCTGAGGTGGAGCCAGACAAACACGGTAAGTATTTTCATGTGAGTTGAATTGTGAACATGCCTCATGTATTTAGAAGACATCCATTATGTGTAAGGATATCCCATTTATATTTTTGGCTCCTTTAAT